CTTCCCTTGTATCCACGGACCACTTCGGTACCTTCTTCTTTGCGTCCACGGCCTCTGCCCCCGCTACCACCTTTTATCCCCGAACTCTGTAATTTTCCCCTAGCGACCATGCCACCACGTCGCGCCGAAATTGGTGTACGTTGGAACGATTTCGTGGAAATGTGCGTCGTCGTGAAGGGTGGGGGATCGGGTAAGACGACGGTGACGGTGGCACTTCCATCGCGAGCTCGACCTCAGGAGAAGAAGAGGAAGACGAAGGAGAGAGAGAGAGAGAAAGGAAGAAAAGATTGGGCGAGAACGAACGACGAACGTAGCCGAAGGAGAACGACGAGAATTAGGAGAGGAAAGGTAATAGGTAGAGAGAAGAGTGATCGCGAGAGAAGGTAGATCGGGAGAGAGGAAGTCTCGTTCCGAGAACAGTCGTTTGATGAGGAATCGCTCGCCAGTACCGAACACAGCGGCCTTCCTCTCGGCGGAGGCTTGCAGGTGCGCGCCGATCTCGCGCGGTGCCGTAGGGGCGCAGGCAAGCGTGACAACACGCAACATTTCTTTCTATCATGCCAAAAATGATACACATTCGCCGCAGATGGAAGTCATTATTATTACAAAGAAGCGTTTTTGCTGCCGACCGTCTGTCGATGCCGGGGCCGTCGTCGTCGGGCTGGATAACGCGAGGATACGACGCTGACGACTTACCGAGAAGTTCACCTCCTGGAGCTGTCTCGTTTCCTTTGCCGCGCGATCGAACCGCGCGCGACGCGAAATTGGCGCAAGCCGAAACCCGAGCCGCACATTCCCACGTCATTAAAGCTAACCACGTACGCCAAACCCGAATCACGCTCGCCCGCCTTCGCGGAATTAGCGCGCGACAGGCACGAGGCGCGCATTATTCCTCCGCGACGCACGGTCTCGTCACTTCCGCACAAGAGGCTTCATTTCCCGGGAAATATTCGCGTGTCGTCGCGCGACGCACCGCGCGTTACGTCGCCACTCGCGTTTTGTGCGCTTCCAGCACCTGCGAGAAAAGCCGGGCGGTGCGAGCCCGTTGCCCGAGCAAACAATACGGACGATGATGCACCGTCCCGAGCGCATTGTCCGCGCCGAGTAGTAGTAGGCGGCGGATTTATCTGCCTACTCGTAGAGTCAGGTAGAGGAGAGGAAGACCGAGAGAGAGAGCGAGCGAGCGAGTGAGTGCAGGGGTCCTCGACCCCCGGGACACGTCGCCGCGCGGCCGGCTGCCTGCCGCCGTCGGAACCGATGGATCTTCCTTTCGTTCCGGGCTGATTTTACGCGGCCAGTGGCAACCAGACGCTGGTGATCTACCAGCCGTCGATAACCGTGCGAAATAACAAACCGTCGTGTGCGCGCGATCCCGCCGAGCGGACGGAGCGTATTAGCGAATCGTCCTAATAGCCGGTTGCGTGGTTCGCGAAGTATGCGAGTACGCGATCCGATTCGCGACAACGGCTGCACGGTCGCCGATCAGCGCCCATTATCCGCCGTAATTCTTGCGGCGAACATTTAACTTTCGATCGCCGATTACGCGCCGCTCTCTCACGCTGCGAGCATTCGAACGAGGCACTGCGATCGCGCGAGGGATGACAGTCCACCTCGCGTTTTATGAGAGAGCGCTTGTATTTTTTCACGACGTTATGATATCGTGATGCCATTCAGGATATCCTGCGATATCGCGTTCGGGAAGAATATATCGGCGCTTTGGGCGATTACCTGTCTGTAATGTCGGAGAAGGAAGCACTCGTGACATTGGATCGCTCATACACGCGTGCAGCAGTTACTGGTGACTAGTAGTTGATGCTGCAGAAGCGGCGCGCACGTTCATTTATAACGTAAATATTATAATTTCCAGTTTTCTCTACGTAGACAGCCCGGAATAATATCGCCGCCAATTATTAACTGGAAAATTTATCACTCGTGAGGCCACTTCGTCCGAGATATAAATTATTGCTCGCCTAGACATACACGTTATGCGTTCCCATACTCTCTCTCTCTCTCTCTCTCTCTCTCTCTCTCTTCATGCGAGATATATCATCCGCGTTTGCGACAGGTTGAAATCTTTCGAGTCTGAAATCCTATATCGTCCGACGATATCTCTCATGCATCGTGTAACCAACTACCGCGGATCTCGGCGTTTCGTGGCGTTAAGAGAACGTTAGAAATTAATATGCCGTGGAAAATACGTTTTTAGCAACGCCTAACGCATTATAAAATACAGCATAAACCTCGCGTCGTCATGTAAACATGTAAATTCACGCTTTTTTGAGATAAAAATCAATCGTGTTGGCTGAAATTTGAAACCTCGATCGTGAAGCATCGCACCATGGCGCTTCGAGCAATTTTATAAATGCTCCGCGACTCTTGATCTCGCATTCCAACACACAGTTGCAATTTGCCTTCCTACTCGGCTTTAATCCACCGTTACTCGCGATACTTTTCCACCCATGAATGGTCGCGATGTATCTCACGGATACACCAATTTTCCCATTATTTTCATCTGCTTCTTGAAAGAATTTTCCTTTCATCAGCACTTGGCTAACAGACCAGGCGTTAAAATACAAAAAAAAGAAACAGTGAAGAACAAAGATATCATAGAAAAGAGACATTGATGACAAGGCTGAGTTCGACCTTGAGATCGTGTAGCAACGGCGATACGTTGTAACCTGAACATATTTATTAGATACACTTGCGACTAATGAAAGGTTAATTATTAAGCGATTCACGCGACACATCTCGCGATAACGTTACACTCTCGGCTATTCTTCTCCCAGCCCTGATTCGCGCAGTACGCGTTTCTAGGTGACGGCCGCTTTTCCCGTCACGTCACGAAATTCCGGGACCTTTGGCATGGTCGTACAAGCGGCTCGTAGGGCTGAGCGCGGAATGAGCGCGGACGGTAAGTCAGTTCTTGGCATACCGAGCGCTCAGGTAGGTAGATAGGTAGGAAGACGGCGGAGAAGGAGAAGAAGAAAAGGAAAGCGGGAGAGCGAGTGAGCCGGCATGCGAGCAGGCAGCCAAGCGGGCAGGCAGGCAAGAGAGTTTGGTATGGTCTAGCTGCTCGCTGCCGCGAAGCGCGTTGAATGCCGGGGCTCCGGTGTATCGGGGCCTGGTACCGCCGCCGTTCCCCTCTCCAAGATGGCCGCCGGTTGGGTCCAGCCAAGTCCCCCTGACCGAGCCAGGCAAGTCCGCCGAGCCAGGGGAAGGGTAGGCCTTGCAGGTGCCGCCATGTCAGTGCATGCCTAACCTCGAAGCCGCGCGGAACGGACGTTGGGCCCGAGAACGCGACATCTCGTGCTACCGCCGTGCTTAAGGGGCTGCTGTTTAGGCCCCGTCGTAGTTCGCGTCTCTACGGATATCCGTCGTAGACTTAGCACCGGACCGATTCCGCTCTTCGGCGTTAAGACGGAGTCGAGCCGCGTAACGGTCCGGAGCGAGATACCGAGTGTTCTCTCTCTTTCTCTCTCTCTTTCTCTCTCTCTCTCTCTTTCTCGCCGATCGAGAGGAACCGGAGACATCAACGCGTGAACGAAGAGAGAGACGGCTCGTCGCACGGACGGCACGCGTCCGACTGTGCCGTCGCGCCGCGAAGAAAAGCGTTGTCGTGAGTCTGCGGAGGCAGGATCTGCGTAAACCGCGTATCGTGTTGTATGCACGCGCGTTTCGTTTACGAGGTCGGGCAGGAACGCGTTACCTTTCGTCCGGGATCGGCGCGTGCATCGACGACGAGTGTGCGTTGACAGTTCGGGGCAGATCGCTCGTTTCCCTTCGGTCGACGAACACGCGGTGTGCGATCGTCGCTCGCGAGTAGATTACCGCTCCTCCGGACCTCGATCCCCCGCTTCAGGGTGCTTTCTCGCGCCTAATCATTCGTACTTTGCACTCAGGTTTCGATCGGCGTACCGGAATACGAGAAGCGGACGTAGTTCGACGGAGAGAGCCAGCTACGAGATGACAGCCGCAACGTTCGGCCTGGCACGACGTTGCGGCGCGAATTAGGCGCAGCGCGATCAAGAAGAGAGAATCCGCGAAGACGGGAACGTGTCCCCCAAGGACAGAGGCGCGCGAGGTGTCCGACGGGACGAGACATGATCGTCACCATGTACGACGCGAGACGATCGCGCTGGGTTCGCGACCGGTCGTGCTGATCGTCCGGGTTATCGCTCGTGGATCTAACGCGAGGAATGTGCCATATCTCGCCGTCGAGATACCCTAGTGACAGCGAGTGCAGCGGATAGTGCCTGGAACTAGCGGATAGAAACAGAGAGAGTACTCTCTCTCTTTCTGGTATCAGTCGGGGAGCAGCGAGCGAGAGATAGAGGAGAGAAAGAGAAAGAGAGAGAGAGAGAGAGAGAGAGAGAAAGAGAGAAGGAAAAGGAAACGGAACAGCAGCGCAGTAGAGTTGTCCGCTTCTACGTTCTCGTCCGGCAAAGGAATCTCCACGACGCTGGTATGCCTCCGAGGACTGTACCAGGCAGCAGCAGCAGCAGCTCGCGCGGCCACGGAAGGTCGACGATGCAGTGAAACAATCGCTCTGCGAGTCCTACTACAGTGAACGTACTTCGTTTCCTCCGCGCGCGAGAGAGAGGGGTACGCGTGTGTACGCGCCGGGTGGAAGTGGATACACAGTCGAGAGAAAGCAAGGATAAAACCGAGTGATTGTGATTGATTGGTGCTGGTGGTAAAATAAAGAAAAAAGAAAGGAAATAAAATAGGTGGGTGATCATAAAGGTGCGACGGTCTCGTGGTTTATGCGTCGTTCGCGGACAACGGGGAAGAGGGAGCACGCGCGACCGCACGGTGCACACGAGTCGTGACGCGATATCAGGAGACGCGAGGAAAGAGCAATAGACCGTACTCGGGCTCGTCGTCGCTCTTTCGATCTCGGCCTCTCGCGACTGGCCGCGTAGGAATGGAAAGATCGAGATAATATCGCGAGACGGGAGAGGAGGTGGAGGAGGCCGCGCGGCGGTGTTGGAGGCCCCAGGATGTGGCATCTGCTACTGTTCCTCGTCCTGGGAGCGACCCTCGCCCCAGGCACGCGACCTGAGCGCGTGATATACCTGGAGGTCTCCGAGAATGCGCTGCCCGGCACCAGCGTAGGCTTCATCGACAGCGAATCCTTGCCGCTCTTCGTGATAGTGCCGATCCCCGGGACGTCGATGGAGGCCGATCTGGAAGTGATCAAGGAGACGGGCGAGGTGAAGACGAAGGTCCCGCTGGATCGCGAGCGCCATCCGATGTACAGCCTGTTGGTGCTGCCGCAGAGCATACGAGTGGTCGTGAATGTGCTCGACGAGAACGACAACGCGCCCACCTTCGCCGTCGATCACGTGGACGTGGAGTTCCCGGAGAACTCGCCGCGCGACGCGAAACGGGCGCTACCGCCGGCGAAGGATCCCGACATCGGCGCGTACTCGACGCAGCGTTACGAGATCATGTCGGGCAATCACGGCGACGTGTTCAGGCTGTCGCAGCATCGCGGTCGCGACGGCGTCCTGTACCTCGACCTGCAGAACTCCGGCTCGCTGGACCGGGAAGCGCGCTCCAGCTATCACCTGGTGATCGAGGCGTTCGACGGTGGCACGCCGCCGCTTCGCGCTCTCCTGCGCGTCAACGTGACGGTGCAGGACGTGAACGACAATCCTCCCACCTTCAACCAGACGAGGTACATGGCGAGCGTGCCGGAGAACGCGACCGTCGGCACGCCGGTGCTGGCGGTGAACGCGAGCGACGCGGACGCCGGCGAGAACGGCCGCATCGAGTACTCCATCAATCGCCGGCAGTCCGATCGCGAGGAGATGTTCCGCATCGACTCGCAGACCGGTATGGTTTACGTCAACAAGGCCCTCGACTTCGAGTCCAAGGAGCGGCACGAGCTGGTGATCGTCGCCCGGGACTGCGGCGCCCAACCGTTGGAAGCGAGCGCCTTCCTTTCCGTTCACGTGACCGACGTGAACGACAATCAACCGGCGATCACCGTGATCTTCCTGTCGGACGACGCGACTCCCAAGATCAGCGAGAGCGCGCAACCCGGCGAGTTTGTCGCGCGGATATCCGTGAGCGACCCCGACTCCAGGACGGAGTACTCGAACGCGACGGTCACGCTGGCCGGCGGGGAGGGCCACTTTGGTCTGACCACGCGGGACAACATCATATACCTGGTGGTGGTGGAGAGGCCGTTGGATCGCGAGGAGAAACCCGTCTACGAACTGTCGGTAGAGGCGACGGACGCCGGCACGCCTCCTCTGAGGGCCGTGCGCACCTTCAGGCTGCTCGTCACCGACGTGAACGACAACGCGCCCAAGTTCGAGCAGGAGACGTACGAGGCGTACCTCCTGGAGGCGTCGGAACCCGGCATGTCGGTGCTGAAAGTGACCGCGACCGATCTCGACGAGGGCGCGAACTCGGCCATCCGTTATTCCCTTCTGAACACGACGTGGTTCGCGATCAACGAGACTACCGGACTCATCACCACGGTGAGCCACGTGGACTGCGAGGCCGACCCGGCGCCGGTCCTCGTGGTGGTCGCGACGGATTCGGGACGGCCGCCGCTCAGCAGCAGCGCTACCGTGTGCGTCACGATTCACGATCTCAACGACAACGAGCCGATCTTCGAGAAACCGCTCTACAACGCCACCGTGCCGGAGGACATGCCCGTCGGACACTGCTTCCTCAAGGTAGGACTGCACAGTCTCTCGAATAATGCGCGCCGTGAAAATGTGCGCACGGATTTCGGCGACGTCACGTCGAATCGCGTGACAGGTGAATGGCGATGGGACGCGAGTCATCCGGAATGAAAATCGTTTCGCGCTCGCGCTGAGCGATATGTTTGCGTTATGCTTTTCACGCGGGCGCGATGCGCTTCAGCACTCGACGCGAGCGTACGCGGCAACGCTAACGGCAATTGTTTCGTCAGCCCGGTTGTAACGGCGAAAAAACTTGCGGAATAGGTCCCCGGGCTGTTGTTGCAATTTTGTGAATTGCTTGTCACGCCGCTTGATATCTATATGACGTGCGAGATATTTTCCACTTGTCCGGACGCTCGCGTTCGCGGGTGTTACGTCGGGCCCGAACGCCGTCATCTCTCTTAACAAGCGTGGTTCTGTCAGTGTCTCCCCACGTAATTGATATTTATATCCAGCGAGAGAGAGAGAGAGAAAGTCCGATTCGAGGTTGAAGCGTCTTAATTTGTGTTGCACGTCGCGAGAAAGTGCGATCGCGCGTCGATTGCACAAAAGTCGCGGGTCGCGAATAACGAATGTTTACGATGCGAAGTCGGGGGTTTAATTGACACGCGCTTAGGAAGAAATCGCTAATCCTCGTTCAATCGAAGAAAATCCGTCACCGGCCTTTATGCCGGATCCCCTAATTGATCCGTCATCGGAATCGATTATGCGAGACGCGTACCTGCAGGTCGCGCGCGCGTTAGCTAGTTTGCTCGTTCGCTCGGTGAGCCTCTACAAATTAATATCTTAAATGTCGCGTCGGTGCGAGAACGACGGTACCCCGTGGATACTTCGCGTTTAACCCTTGCATAAGCCCCGTCGTTTCGCGTAAAGTCGCTAGGATCACATTAAAGGTTCCTCACGCAGTCCGGGCGAAAGGCCACGGAACGCTCGTAACCAGCCGAGCCGTCAGGCACGTACGTTACGCCGGGAAAGCCGTAATTGGTACTCGAGAGAATCTTATAAGAGGGAGAGGGAGAGTGGAAGAGAATGAAAGATAGATAGGGAGCAAAAGAGAGAGAGAATGAGACGAGAGGGGTTTTCTTCGGCGTGTTTCAATTAGCACCGCGAGTATACCTGGGGAGCGTTATCGATCATCGTTTTTTATTCCGCGAAAAGGCCCGGCGTGTGCGCGCCGATGCGCGCTCGGACCGGAGGTGGAATAAATCCGCGGCCGTTCATTTGCATGCGGCCCGCGCGTTCTCCGCGAGCGCGAGCGGTCCCCCCGCGAGAGAAAGAGGGAATACGAGTAGGAGCACCGCGGCGGCGGTGCGACCTGAATGAGGAAAGTGTTGCGTACGTACCGGCGACATGAATCGCTCAGGGGCGTAGCGTCGCCGAGACTCTCTCGGGCTGTGAGAGTCAGCAACGCGATTTCCTTCGCCGGCGATTTCTCGCCTCGTCTCGCCTTCTCTCACCTTGCCGCACCGGCGTGCGTATATCGACCACGTGGCGTTCGCGGAAGGAATCCCGCTGACGTTCCCTTAGCGAGAGGCCGCCGAGACGCTCTTCCCCGGAGCGGTGTTAGAGCGCGAACAAGTTAGTCCCGACACCGATGGTGCTTTACGAGCCGACGCGTCGGTACATCCTGCCGAGCGAGAGAGCGGCACGCATTTGTATACGCCGCTGCGGCGAACGCGGGATAACGACGAGGGGGGTGCCCAGGGCGGGATAAAGGGACAGATCCCGGAGGAAGGATGCGGGGAGAAGGGACGGTCTCTCGCGCGCGGCCACGTTCGTGAAATTTCAGATGTCGCGGCCTTTCGTTGAAAGGCGATTACGTTTGACGTAATCGTCGAAAGTAAACGTTACACCTTCGGTTCACTTGACAGTCGGATCATAACAAGGTGGTGCTGAATTCTTCTCAGTTCACTTCTCCCTCGTAGACGTAAAAGCGTTCTTGCTGCTGAAAGCCGCTGAAAGTGAAAGTCTGATGTAACGCCTCGATAATGCCTCGAAGACTAATTCGTCGGGATCGACGCGCCGTGATTGTCGACGATATCGCACCGGCCGTTAAATCGCCCCGATACGCTCGATGCGTTTCTCCACACTTTGACGAAGAGACCGCTTCGACGAGGTCGGACGATAAAGCCGCGCTTATCGCACGCACGCACAATCGGATGTCGCGCGTCTCCGGCGGGGAGAAATTGGCGTCCGTCATTCATAACGCCGCGTGCGTGGATCCTGCGATGCGAGGATCAAACGAGCGAGGGTACGTGGCAGGAACGCGAGAAGGGAGAGAAGGAATCTCCTCCCCCTCCTTCCCTCCTCCCACATCCGCCTGTCTATCTCACGCGCGCTCGCTCGCTCGACCCTTTTTTGCCTCGCTGGATTGTCATCCGCGTGCGGCGCGAGCGCGGCCACCGCCGAATGCCGATGGAAATTGCATTCGGGAATGAGCGAGTGCATTTTTCAATCGGCCGACGCACCGCGCAAGGCACGACATCCGGCGGGGACTCTGCGTGCGTGCGTATGTGTGTGCGTGCGCCGCAATGCGACCCGATGTTAATGGCTGCCCCCGGTACGATATATATTTTATTGGCGTTTCGCTGCCTAGTTCAATGATGATTTATAATTGTTGTCCGCTCGGCTGTAATTATTATAATTACAGATTTTTCGTCCGGGCTCTCTCTCTCTCCCGAAACCGGGCCCACTTCGCTCCATCCCCCTCGACGCGGCTCCACCCCTTCGGTCCTTCGTCTCGAGCCTTCTTCTCCCTTCGTGCGTTTCTCCCATTCTCGCTATCTCCGTTTGTCCGTCGCTCGGTCTCGCTTCTTCCTTCTCCATCTCGCTTGCCCGTTGCTCTCCCTCTCCTTTCCTCTCTCTCTCTTTCTACCTCCGCGAACAGAGACCAGATCTACGGCTGCTCCGCCGTAGGAACGGGTTTTGGAAGTCGGACTCGCGAATCGAGTCCTCGCGTGCTCCTGCGAGACCTCTGTCTCTGCTCTCGTCTATGCTCTCGTCGATCGGTGCTCTCGTCGTCATTCAGCGCTGCGCGCGCGCGCGCTCGTTCGACTCGAATAAAGCGTCCAAAGCGATGTCTGCGATGAGAATTTCAGACTCAAGTTTTAAGCCCTATGCTGTAATTAAGACCAATCACAATCGATTATTCTTCTGAAATTCGACGTGATCGGCCACTTTCTTTTGGCTTAAATCTTAGGGCTTAAGCCTTAAATTCTCATTGCAGACACTGCTTTACGGCGTGGCTGTTTCGATCGTCCTTGGAACGATTCCGTATTCACGACGAGCCGTGCCAACTTTCAAAACTTTTATACCGACTTTTATACCGTTTCTTCTCGGATAGCGTAATCGTCGAATCGCCAATGGGATGCTGCGTATCCATTTCTGCGTGTGCAGCGTCTATCTTAATATCGATCGGTGCAATATCCGGCGATCGCGCTACCGCACTTCGTTAAGTTCGGCCGTGGAACGTTCTGCCTACTCACGCGCCCGTTTCGGCTCGACCTTATAGTTCAATTGGAGCGCGAAATTTCTGCGACAGGGTCTGATCCTGCATACCTGACGAATCGTGCCGATGGATCGTGTTTAACGCGCGTATTAACATCGCCTAATGATCGCAATTGATGAAAAAGTCGGAGCAAAGACCGCCGCGCGACGTGATTGATGCCAACACTGGATGCTACCGATCGCGAAGCTGCTTGGTGAGGGGATGAAAAGCAATCCCGACTCTCGAGTCTGTTTCCTGGCGGAGTCGCAAGCTCGTTTGCACCTGCTACGATGACCCTCGAGTCGACCCTAATTCTCAGAAAGCTTTCTCTCTTCCACGTCTTAGATACGCTATAACACTTTTGACAGGATTCATTATATTCGATTTCTCGTTTATTCATTCCGTTAAATTATTATAACTAACCGAACTCGCATTATTACAATATCTCGAAATACTTCAAAGAACGCGAGGTCGTCGTGGATTTAGTTCAGATATCCCCTATCTCGGTCTTAGCTTTCATCTTCAATCTTAAGGAAAGATCGTTGGATTGGAAGCAAGGAGAAAAGGTGTTAGAATTCGTCTGCGACTGAGAGGAAGGATAAAAAGAACAGCGCAGATATCACTTTCGTGATCCGACGTGGCGCGGGGGAGTTATTCAATTATGACGTGATTCACCTCTTCAACCGAGGCAACCTCCGCGATTCGCGTAGGATACTTTCAGCGAACACCGATCCTCCGCGCGCGTACTCATCGAATCTAACAATATCCGCGCGTACTCACGTATAACGGAACGTGCGTACACGCGTGTACATTCCGCGTACACGCACTCGCGCGTGCACGCGGCCTACACTGCTCAAGAACACCGGTACCAATTCATCCTCGCGCGCGCGCGTCTCCCATTATCCGCCCTAACCGGCGACGTAGGATCATTAAGCCACGGTGCCTTTTGTCCGTCTCTATGCGTCCGTCCTTAACGACCCGAGCTCGGGAGGAAGGAAGGCTCGAGAAAAACGCGAGCGAGGCGCGCTCCACTTGGCAGCGATTTTCCCCGGCCGGCTCGCTGCACTTTCCACGGATCGTCTCCGAATCGAGTCGAGGGATCGATTACGCCGAGCGATGCGCGCCGGTACGGTGGTGGTGCATCGGCGTCGACCGGTACACACGTCGTGTGTATCGCGGTACGAAGTGATGACCGTAATGACTCTAACCACCGTCTGACATCTGGCATTAGGCACTCGGGCTTTCGAGTGGCAACGCCCGCAGCAATTGTTGCCGTTTACGACTGCCGTGCGCGCTCTCCTTCTCCCTCTGTCGATGATTCTTCTTCCACTACCACCACCTCCTCCTCTTCTTCTGCTGCTTCTTCCTCTCCTTCTTTTCTCCCTCCTCCCTCTTTCTCTCTTCCTCTCTCCGTCCATCTTCACCTTTCTACCCGGCGTTCCTCTTCGCACGCGTGGAGGACCCGGCTTCCTCCGTCTCTCGTCCCGGCACTTCTCTCTTCCTCGACCCGGTCCTTCCTCCCCCGTCTCTCTCCCTCGCCTTTCTTCCTATCCCTCTCACCCGCTCCACTCCTATCTCCTTCTCGTTTCCTCCGTTTTGTCCGCTCGTACGTCCTCTCCTCCTT